GTGTACGCATAGTCGAGATGATTGAAACGGCGACTGATTACGAAGGGTACGTAGATCTTTTAGAATACCACTCTGATGCGATTTCCTTTGATTCTGTTTCGTATAAAAGGCCGTTCATCGATAAAGCTGACAGCGCCGAATCGAGAGAAGACGTTCTCGCGCTCGTCGGTGGATACCATTTATACTTTTCAATGATTGGACAAATAATTCCGCGCTCACGTCCGATCCAAGCTAAAATTTATTTTCAATTTATCGCGAAAAGCCGTCCTTAAAATATCATCCAATGACTATAGAATCAACACATCCGGTACAGCGTGATACGAATCGCGTCCACTCGACGAGTAGAACAAGCAAAAAGCTCGCAGCCCTAAATCCTATCACGCTTCGGCTGATCCTCAACAGTGATTTCGCTCCTCGTTAAAGGCGACTATGCAAATGCAACGTTGCATCGTTAGTTTGGATTGATTTTATTGCCAATAAAATCAATGTTTGAAATCATTGGAAAGGGTTTTACGGCAGGAAAAAGGGAGCAGATGATACGGCTCAAAGCTCATGGTAGAGAGGATGACGCACGGATTATTCGCTACTTCCCTATCGGTAGACATTGCGCAATTGAAATCTACGTCGGTGGTCACACGTGAGCATGATCGTTTGGAAAGAGACACAGGGGATGTCGACATAGGTAAACCGAGAGGATTTTCGAACGTGTGCGAAATCTGGCCGCTGATTTCAAGTGTCCGTCCGATTGCGCCTATCTCTGCACCCTTTATGGACTCTTCGAATTAATCGCGTGTCGCGAGTTTACTTTTGCTTTCGAATTCAATCTTACGTTCCGCTGCTCATCGCGCGACGAATCATCGGGTTAACGAGAAATCCGAGTTTTTATTTTGACATCGTATTCAATGTAACTTTAAATAGAATTGCTATTTCCATTTTGATTTTAAATATTGTAACTAGGAAGCAGGGCGCGCTTTCTTCGTTGGTCTATTCATGTAAAAATATTTATCCCCATATCTTAAAATTTACGAATATATTATTAAAACATATTAGTATTTTAATTTTTAAATCGTATTATTATTTTAAAGGTAAAAACATTATTATTTTTATTAGCAAATTAACGCTTTAATCTATTGATATCTGTCAGAGAAGAGATTAATGGAGTTTAATAATAACTTTATATTATTTTTTTTAATATCAATCTTTTCAAAGAGCGAGGCATAGCGTGCGAGTGCTGCTCTAGTGTTTATAAATTCTGTGTCATATTTTTCTCGCTACGTGTCGCTTAGCATTATCTCAGAAGTCACGAATTTCACCGGAAATTTCGGTAGTTTATACGGTGAGATAAGCGATCTTCAGCAACTATGAACGTTTCTTGCACGACGGGAGAACATCTGACACAGAGATTAGGCTAAGCGCGCGCAAAATTGTCTCGCAACGATATGCAAATCGCGACATAAATGCTAATTGCAATTGCCCATGAAATGAATTCAAGGGCTCCCTCACAACGAAGGGTTCGCTTCGTAGTTTAGTAGCGACCTTTGCCTTACGAGTATTTGCAACGAATATTGAGAGACGAAATCAATGTTATTTAAAGATTTTATGGTATATCAAGCCGATTTGTAATAATACTATCCATTTTGTATATATACACATAAAGGAAGAGCTTTTTTACAATGATGTATTTTTTGGTTCTGCACGAAAACAAAAGAAAAATAATCCCGCGAAGAAAATTTCTCTATATCAAAGCATTTTTCATTTACAAATCTCATCAATCATTCTTTATTCGTGCTATTTTTAGTATATGAAAATTTAAACTCGAAAAAACCAATTACCAGAGAGAAAGCTAAAACAGTCGCCAATTGCGAGAAACTCGGCTTTACGATAAACGAAACAAAATGATAGAGTTTACGACACTAATTCATTTATGTATTATTAACGAGAATAGGACAGTTTCGGAACTCAATAACGTACTTACGAAACTTAATAATATGCTTACAAAGCTTTCCTAAATGACTACTGATAAAATCTCTGTGTCGTAAAGTCAGGAGCTTTGATGTCAATTGAGTTATCTTGATCACGAGACGCGTTGTTGTAGCTGGATGTAGAAAAACTTTTTTATTTCATTCGCGGCGATGCTCGAATTCAGCTTCCAAAATTGCGCGGAGATTAAGATCTCGCCTCAAGATCCAAGAACCACGTACTTTTGCCATCGGATGAGTCGGAACCATGTCGTTGACAGTTTGTAAATGATCTAGTTTACGACGCGAGAAAGTGAGGGCTAGAGTACGGTGTATTTCGAAAGGGGAAATGACAGTAGGAAGAGGAGAAGACAGAGAGGGAAAGGAGAGAACAAGGAGAAATGATTGAGGATAGCAAGTTGGAGACAAGGACGGAGAAGGGTCTTGTTGACTATTCATCTTCGTGGCGATCAAACAAACTTTTCGAGCCATTTACACATGAACCCGAGTATTATAATTGAGTATCGTATAGAAGTCGGATATTCTAGAATCTATATTTAATCATTATGAATATGTATTTATCGCGCTCGATCGGACAGTTGAATCAGACGGCATTACATTGAAAAGCCTTCGGCTCTAACCCAGCACTTTGTTAGACGCGTATAAATTCACGCTACAAATACGCTGGCAGTTTCTGACCAACGTTTGATGAACGCTGGACCCGCCTTCTCCCGCTCGGACGAAGGACAAACCGACGGACATTTGCATACGATGAACCCGCACGGGCGTTAACTGCTCGGGGACGCGGAACGAGCTACAAGTCACCTGGTACCAGTAATTGAAATGAGGGTAACTTCGAAGAGGGGTTGCGCGAACAAACGAGGAGCCCGAAAGTTCTTTTGGTAACAGTAACGCTCGTGTGATATTAAACATGATTAAAATTGTGTGGTGCGACCATAATACATTTTAATAAAATTTAATGAATACCGATTAAATGAATTTAAAGAAAGAGTATCATGATTTATTGAGTCTAAACTTATATTTTTAGCGATTTATATGTATATATATATATATATGTATTACATATAGGTATATTTGACATGTCGTTTAAAGACTTGCAATTTTGTTCGGCGAAAAGAATCTTCTAACTGTAATCGGCTGTACATTTTAATTTAATTGCACGGCAAAGAGCGCACTTTGAAAAAGGACGAAAAAATCTGTCGAGAGGTCTGGTCGAAACACGGTTAATAAGTGGAACGGCGCTGTGGGAAGCGCAGAAGGGAGGATTGAAATACCCCTTGAAACTTTACGAACTATGAAAGCGGAATGAGAGAGAATGGGCGGGAGGTTCAAGCGACAGAGAGCAGGGATGGGAAGTTTAATTAAATATCACACAACATATTATGGGAGGAGGAGAGAGACACCGCGTGTGTGGTGTCGATGACAAGCTACGTCCCACACACACACACACCGTGTGAGACCGAAAAGTTCGTGTCAACGAGCGAACGAGTACGTCTCGCGGTATAGTAACAGACAGGCAGCGAGACGCGACTACCGCCGGAAGTTAACGGAGGGAAGCGAGCTGTCGCGTCATCGGTACCCTTTTATAAAGCGGCCAGTCTGCAAATTCCATTCGGCCGACCCTCCCGCTTCTCTTATATTCACCCCCGCGGCATTGACGCGGCTGCTGATTCAATTCTCGCGGAAGGAACGACGATCCTCGAACGGACGACAATTTATTTTTTAATCTCATAATGTCCCCGCCGAAAGCCTGGCTGCGGAGATTTCGGCGCGAGTCGACGAAAGACGTGACGTATAAAGGCGAATATTCCGTGACAAAGGAAGTTAAGTGAATTGTTCTCCTTGTTTGATAACTTGAAGAGAATGCAGCAAGAAAACGCGCATTAATATATTCGATAAAAAATTAACACGCGAAATGATATGAAGAATGACAAGTCGTGAATTATACATGACTCTCTAGCGAACCCTTGCGCAAACCTGCCTGGCACGTCGATCCTTGCCACATCCGTGATGACTCGCGAATTAAAAGCCCATGAATATGGTAAGGACGCAAATTCCACCGGTGTTTACTCGGGATCAGTATTACACGGCAATCTGCATACTCGAGTGTCGGAATATACGGCGACGCGTCACGTGGGTCACGAATCAGGTCCGGATTCCCTCGAATCGTATACGCGAGACGAAGCAAGTATATAGGGTTAATCGCTAGCCGCAGCATTCCTCCGCGAGGAGGAATTTAATCCGCAACACCGGGATGTCAGTATCCCTAAGTTTCTCACGCTACTCAAATCGGGAAGGACGAGAGATTCTATCTAATCCACGGGCCCCGGCGGTTTCGCAATCTCCCGAATCGATGAGTATCAGCCACCGCGAAAAAGAGATGATCCCCTATTTCGTCCGGTCCCGCCGATTAATCCGTTAGCCACTCGCGACCAACCTGTGCGTACCGTTCAATTATCGAGGGGCTCTTCTCCCTCTCTTAACCGGCGCTAACTGAGTTGTTACCTCGATAATTCGTACGTCGTAGTATTGGCGGGTAACACCGAGGGCTCGCCACATTAATTTGCGGCTTGGCATGAGAATTTCCGCTTAACTGCATTATTCCGAAACTTATCGCACGCCATCAATAATCAATCGATGCAGATAATATCCTGAATTTCCGCCGGTATATTAAACGCTGCGAAATTACGATTCGTGCTCCAAAAACGTGATCATATTTTTCTAGGTCAATTAATATCGATTTATTAATACCGTTGGTCAAAACATTTGCTACAGACTAATAAAAATATAATTATAAATCTTTAATAAACTTTATTTTTGCAGAGATATTCGTGGAAACGATTTTAAAATTTAAAATATGTGCATTTTTTCTCGTTTTATATCTTATTATCCTTTTGTTTTTCAAAACAAAGGACGGCAATTTATATATTTCACCCAGCGTATAACAGCTGTGGCCTGTTGTTAGGTAAAATTACATTGTTACATTATTATGTCCGATGTCGCCTCAAGGGATAAACTTACCTGTGTAAGGTCGACAATAGTTGCGATTTGCTCTGTAAATCGTCGGCAAAGACGACTCAGCTCCCGGCTCGATATACGCTTTGCTCTTGCTGTCTCTAGGGTCGCTGTATTGTTCCACAACCTCGACTTCCGCCTGCAAACAAAGCACAAATTATTTCCTTCCGTTACCGTCGAAAAGCACATTCGGTATTCGGCGCGCGTTTATGTCTGAAATTGTGATCGATCTGGCGTTTTCATTAAATGACGTAACTCTTGTCCTAGATATATCACGTACGGCACCGAATAAACGTGCATACATGTGTTATCAGCCTGGATTGTCGTAATAATACTAATTTAGTGGCACGTATTTTCTCGGCGTACTCGGCGTAATGACACTCAACTTCATTCCGAGCAGGAATGCTTTCTGAAAGGGTTATTATCGGAACTAGTTTCGACGCGATAGCGTTAGGTCGATGCCGTTTTCTCATCCTGAATCGCAGCCAATTGCGGTAATAGCTTTGGCACAAAAATGCGCTTTCATTGCGTGTTCAAATAATCGGTCGGATGATCTTTGATATTAACATCCTGTTTGTACAGAAATAAATGTAATATTTCTAAATATCGATATGATAACATAATTGCACGTCGCATTCGTTTCAACAAGCTTATAATTCGAGGAATCGAAAACAGGAAGAAGTAAAAATTCTCCTCAATTAAATTTCCGATAAAAACATCATCGAGCGAGAGAGGAAAAGTATTTTCTATATTTTCGAGGCATTGATATTGACAATAGTGATAATAAAAGTAATAAATGAGATCTCGGTCTTTCTTTCAAATAGCAAATGATAAAGAGCGAATAACGCGAAATAGCGGAGAAGGAAATGATAGCTTTTCGATGCTCTTTCGGATCAAGAAGAGGAATCGGTGAAAGCGTCTTTTCCTCTTTCTCGATTTCGAGATTCAACTTTGTATCGACAATCATCGAGATTGTAAGGGAGAAAAGGAGAGACTTCACAAGGAAGCTCGACGGCGCGAGACGAGTAGACATCTCAGATGCAAGACGGACAGAGAGAGAGAGAGAGAGAGAGAGAGAGAGAGAGAGAGAGAGAGAGAGAGAGAGAGAGAGAGAGAGAGAGAGAGAGAGCGAGCAACGACGGGGAAGACAAGTAAGTAGCCTTAAATTGAAAGACGCCCAAAATTGGAATTCTCCTGCCAAAGTTGGGCGCTGTGCCCCAGGGGCTGTTTCGAAGACGAAGTCGATTGCTTCCAACCACTTTACCGCGCGATTCCTCCTTCGAATAAATTTGTGAATAACGTTTTATACATTTATACGGAAATTACGGGCGGGAACGGTTCGATCAGCTGTCGCAAATCTGATGACAAACGGGCTGGCTCGACTTTTCGCCGACACACGTTTCTGCCAACAAATCCCGCGCCGATGGTTGCGAAAACGATTACGCGGGATTATCGGCAACGCCGGCGACGAATTGCTGTTTAATTCGACGAGTGAAAATATGCGAATTTATAGCTGCGATACGCCTCGTTAAGCGGGTAAAGTAAATCCGCAAAGCTATTTCGCGCGTTGATGAGAGAGACGATAACAAATAATAAATATACAAGATATATGTCAAATTATCCAATTCTCCTCTTCATCCGCGAATTGTTTGACTGCTTAAAAGGTCGTCCCTTAAACACAAACCGAATGTGCAAACGGCACGAATCACATATCCGATCATGTTTGTTTGTTAATGCCGCTAGATTTATCAAGGGCTTTAATCCTTGTTTGGTCACCGCGTTAATAATTGGATATAATTATTATAGGGTTGGCCAAAAACCGCTCGATTTTATATTGTGTTTTACGAGTTTTGTCATATAATTTTTGCTCGTATGCTGTTAATATTATATTTTTGAAAAGTACATTCATTGAATTGGAATTTTATTATTTCAAATATAAAAAATAAATATCCACAAATAGAGGAAAACGGGAGGTAATAAAAAAAAAGACTCGTCTCTTTTAAAATAATGTGTCGAAAAATTCCATTTGCGCGATACAGATATTAATGTTCTTTGCGGCCTTGTAGAACGTCAAACTATATTAATGATAAAGCTATACAGTTCATACATAAATAACGCCGATACATAGAATTGCACTTTCGAGAAAAGCGTGACACTTATGATGTCTATCGCCCTTAATTTTAAGAGAAACGAGCCAGTATTTCCATAATATTCGCGATAATACAAGGACATCATTAACATTATGCAAATAATGGCGTTAAATAAAGTAGGGTTGCCAGAGAGAAAAATGAGCTGCGTAAGATAAGGCGTACGTAAAAGTATTTTTTTAGTAGCACAGGAGTATCAATCACTTTCACTTTCACAAAGAAATATCGACGTAAAAGACGTGGCTCTCTTTTTCTCTTTCGCGCGAAGTCAATTTCTTTTCCCTGGAATTGTAAGAGTCACAGTCAGACGCTTCCCTCTGCATCGGTTGGAATTAATTACTCCCACTTTTCGATGTAATTTCACTCGCCGTAAGTTAATCGTCGCTCCGGTAAAGTCGCTCCTGCTACAAATGGCAACGAATTCCCTCTGACATTCCGCCGATGCTCGTCGTTCTAAATTTACTGACCAAATAAATCGAGCCTCCCATAACCGAGATGCGATCGAGGGCGTCGCAAATCGCAAACAAAGTCTTTGCGATCTCGATGAAGAAAAAACGCCAGAGACTTGTAACCGCAACGTTCCAGCACAAAGCGCATCTACTAAAAGTTGCTCGCACCAAAGCTCTTTGTTATAGTGATAAATGCGAGCGACACACCAGTGCCCGATCTCACGCATAAAATAAAGCGCTAAAGTATTAAGTAGGGCTTACGAGCGGGACTCATAACGATTCACCCTCTCGAGAGTCAAGTGGTACCCGCTCTTTCTGTCTTTGTCACACTCCCTCTTCGCGACTTTTCGCGGGGGAGGTTGTCGGTGACAACGAGGCGAAGGAAACTTTTGTTCGGTACACTCAGGTGTTGGTCCCCTCGCTATAACATTTCTTTTTCTCTTTCTTTTATGAACTTCCTCTCGCGCGGCTCAGCCACATTTCCGTTTATTCGTATAATAATCAGGCGTCGAGTTGATGGCAGCGAATTAAATTTTTCACGAATTAACATATCAAATGTAAGAGAGAGAGAGCGGAGAATCAGAAAAAGCAAACATATAGAAAATAAAATATAGCTAAATGCAAGAATTGTTTTAAAAAGAATATATTTATAAAAATATATATCTTATTAATGTATATCTTACATTAAATTAATATCTTCGAAATCAAACAACAGAAAATTTATTGCGAAAATTTTAAACCAAGTACTATCAAAAAAATATTTCAAACAATATTATTTTTGCTAAAACTTATCTAGAAAAAAATTAATCAAAGATATTAAGAATATATAAATATACAATTGCAAAGTCTCAAACATTTTCTCATATACATTAAAGTTATAAAATATGTCAAAACAATCTAATTGATTATCAAGAACATAATGAAACAATTACTGCGTAAATGTATGTAAACAATTAATAATAAAACGTTAAATATTTAAGAAGAAGCTAATTGCTGTGTGCAATCGCTGAATGCATCCAATTTCAGTATAGCTGCAAGTTCATTCGCGAGAAAATCGTTTTAAGAGCGTGGCCTGATATTTAGAGCGTACTTTCGCGGTAACCGCAGAACGCGGAAAGACGGATCTGTAAATCCACTGCCAAAGCGTTTAGGCGAAACGCCCGAGGCAATCCCAGGCACTGGAAACTGAGTGCCGGAGCAATTATAAGCAACGCCGGAAGTCACCGCCCTGCCAGCGACGCTGCTCGTCGTTCCTTTCGCGTCCGTTGTTCCCACCTCTCGCACACCCTCTGACGCTTTTCACCCTCTTCCACGCCCCCGTGATGCCTTCCCTCCTGTACCGGGGGGTATTTTGTCACCACTGTAATTATATTTCTCTCCCTTCGACTGATTCCCCGACTCTCCGCGTTGCGAAAATATCAATACTATCGTTAGCCGACGAAACGACTCGGACCACAGTCACAGGAAGTGACGTCATTCACACATTATGTGCGCCAAAGATGAGACGCGTTGTCGCGCGTGTAGGATTTCACGAGGTTGACATTTGTATACATTTAAAATTTAACCCTCAGTTACCACTGATTTTTGGCCACCCTATTTTACCACTCATGGGTTAGAGTAATCCAGAGTCTTCTTTTGTTTATATTTCTGGATCTAATGAAGCTATTTTGAAGTATTTTTTTTCAATCGATACGCCAGACAGTAAGAAAAAAGCATATATCGATACAAATGTCACCAGATTTCTACGACTCGAGATATTTGAGAAAAAATGAAAAGTGATTTTGTAAAATTTCGAAAAAATTATTTTTCATATGGGTTAACGTAACCCAGAGAGGTAACTGAGGGTTAAGTATCTTTGTAATTTTTGCCAATTTTTAATATTAATATTGATTAACCAAATTTATATACGTTTTATACTTGCAAATAATATGATATTTCGTACAGATGTGCAAATATTTTGTGAAGAATTTGACTTTGCTGCCCTCTGACCTTTTTGATTCACTGCACGTCGTGGGTAGAAATATCGATAAACTTTTCGGACTGTAAACGAGCCACAATGGGGACGCATGCACGCATAACGGCAGAGTGTTTGCCTAACGCAGGATTCATTGAACTGTGAATGCAGATAAATGCGATTGCGGTGAATAAAGTTTTATCGTCACCGCAATATAATAACGCTCGCGCGAAAGCGTTAAAGTTATACAAAAGTTATATATGTCGTTATATTGTCGTCTTTTAATCTCCTTAATTACGGAATGTACGCCATTGTTTCGCTATTGCAAAATATACGCCATTGTCCCACAACTGAATTATGAATATCGCGTTATGATAAAATAATACCGAGTTATGCAATAAACGGATTAAACTTGAATAGTGAAATTTATTGCCGCAGCTAAAGCATATCCTTTCAAATATCTTATGCTTAAAAGAATGAAATGAGTAAACTAATGTCGGTTTTAATGTAACAGAATATTCAAATCATATTTTAAAATCCAGGAAGAAAATACTTAAATTACTTTATTCAGGACAATCACTTACATTCTCTACAGTCGGACTTGGCAGGGTCCATTGCACCGTGGAAGTTGCAGCTGCGGCGCTGGCAGGACGTCTCTTGTTCACAAAGTCGACGGGCAAACTATAATCGTCGCACAGCGATACCTGCAAGTGCAAACGAAAAAAAAATTATATATATATATATATAATCCACGCTCGCTTATTATCATTTCCCATTAACTGCCCTATCCGATGAGAGAACTTTCGTCGTTTAATGGAGTTTCCAAGTTCTAAGAAATGACTTTCATCAAATGACGCGAACTCTGGTAACTGAAAAACTTTATCGACACTCTTTAAATCTGCGTCGCAGAAGGGGAGTCGTACGAGACTCGATTTTTGATCTTTCATTTAATCGCCATGTAAGGGATCTTAATCTCTTTATACATAGCTGATGTTACATGGCGTGAATAATTTATACTTTATATTATAGCGTGATAATATTATATCATTATATCCTTATAATACTCTCGGTGTCCCAACGGATAGAAACAAATTATCTTCATTTGAATCCTCGGGACTCGACTAAAAGCAAGCCAGTTGTTACCCTCGCTATAGTTACCCTCGGCGTTACCGAAGCACGCGCGCCTGCTCCGTTTAGAGACGGGAAAATACGCGAAATGTCGTTGAGAAAAAAGTGAAGAACGACCGACGGATGAAAATCCACGGGGAAATATCTGGGCTCGAGAGCGAACGGAGAATTTCCGCCACTCGACAAATCGCAGGGTAAGCACCCCGAACGCGCTCCTCCACGTTCTCAAATCCCTGTCGATGCTGACTGGACCGGACCAACTCATCAGCGATATTTACTGTCTGTCGGAGGATCGATCTATCGATGGGTGTGTGTATTCTCGTCCCTTTCGGCACGACGTACGAGGACCGGGAGTGCGCGACCTACCACCTACATCTGTACACGCATATAAATCGAGACAATCGCGGATCCCTAGCGGCGGCTTATCGCGCGGGGGAAGAGAAGGGAGGTGGTGGTGAGCCCGCGGGGACGCGCGGCGTTAGCCCCTGCGAAGGGAATTTTACTCCCTACATGCAAATGGTCGGCATTTATTGTGAGAAAAGAGAGCGCCGTATGAATATGTGAAGTGGGGATCGAAACAAAAAAAAATAGAAAGAGATATGAATGGTCGGAGGACACCGGAGATGGGATGAGAAGCGACCGGTTCGTGGAAAAACGGAAATAGCCACGCATCGAGAATGACGCGGCCCGAGACTTAGCAAAGAGGAAACGCAGTGCGGGTTAAAAAAATCGATTCGTATATAGTATTGCGTAATATATATGCGAGTTAAACTGGCAAGTTCCTTCTTTTGTACGATACCATTGTGAAGAGTAATCCTTTCTCCTGAAAACTTTTCGTATTATAGATTTGCGGACTGCTCGAGTCGAGTCGAGTCGACTGTAAGGAGTTATAGTCAACGATAAGATCGCCGGCAGATACCTCGGAGCGATTCTGTTCGTAAAGTGGACTACTGTCACTCAATCGCCGTCATTAAGTCGCATAATTGAAGATATTAAATGGTATAATTTTATATTATAAAATTGTGAGCTGCTCGAGTCGAGTCGAGTTAACTGTAAGGAGTTATAGTCAACAATAGGATCGCCGGCAGATACCTCGGAGCGATTCTGTTCGTAAATGGACTACTGTCACTCAATCGCCGTCATTAAGTCGCATAATTGAAGTTATTAAATGGTATAAATTTATATTATAAAATTGTGAGCTGCTCGAGTCGAGTCGAGTTAACTGTAAGGAGTTATAGTCAACAATAGGATCGCCGGCAAATACCTCGGAGCGATTCTGTTCGTAAAGTGGACTACTGTCACTCAATCGCCGTCATTAAGTCTCATAATTGAAGATATTAAATGGTATAATTTTATATTATAAAATTGTGCACTGCTCGAGTCGAGTCGAGTCGACTGTAAGGAGTTATAGTCAACGATAGGATTGCCGGCAGATACCTCGGAGCGATTCTGTTCGTAAATTGGACTACTGTCACTCAATCGCCGTCATTAAGTCGCATAATTGAAGATATTAAATGGTATAATTTTATATTATAAAATTGTGAGCTGCTCGAGTCGAGTCGAGTTGACTGTAAGGAGTTATAGTCTACGATAGGATCGCCGGCAGTTACCTCAAAGCGATTCTGTTCGTAAAATGGACTACTGTCACTCAATCGCCGTTATTAAGTCGCATAATTGAACATATTAAATGGTATAATTTTATATTATAAAATTGTGCACTGCTTGAGTCGAGTCGAGTCGACTGTAAGGAGTTATAGTCAACAATAGGATCGCCGGCAGATACCTCGGAGCGATTCTGTTCGTAAAATGAACTACTGTCACTCAATCGCCGTCATTAAGTCGCATAATTGAAGATATTGAATGGTATAATTTTATATTATAAAATTGTGAGCTGCTCGAGTCAAATCGAGTCGACTGTAAGGAGTTATAGTCAACGATAGGATCGCCGGCAGATACCTCGGAGCGATTTTGTTTGTAAAATGGACTACTGTCACTCAATCGCCGTCGTTAAGTCGCATAATTGAAGATATTGAATGGTATAATTTTATATTATAAAATTGTGAGCTGTTCGAGTCGAGTCGAGTTAACTGTAAGGAGTTATAATCAACGATAGGATCGCCGGCAGATACCTCGGAGCAATTGTATTCGTGAAATTGACTACTGTCACTCGATTGCCGTCGCGTTGTTAAATCGTGTGAAATTAAGCATTTGCTTTCCATTTAAATAAATACTAGAATTAATTTGCATAATATAAAAAAAAATTAAAATTAAAAAAATGAAAATAAATCAATTTTTTCAATTAAGAAAAAAAACAAAAAATTTAATTATGCCTCCTGAAAAAAATCCTGCGGACGCCTATGACTGTAAGGGGTTACAGTCAACGATAAGATCGCCGGCAGATACCTCGGAGCGATTGTATTCGTAAAATGGAATACTGTCACACGATCGTCGTCTCGTCGTTAAGTCGCGTAATTGAAGAGGCTTGAACGGTATAATTTTACGCACTTTGCCGGCTTCAGGGCGAGCACCTGTCCCACAGACTGAACTGCAGTCGTGCATCTATCGTTACCATAAGGAAGCCAAATGCGAACTAGGCCGATTCAACGAGGTGCATTCGAGAAAACCGCCAATGTCTGAAGCTGAAGATCGTGTTTCACTGTTCACTGCTATCTCCAATTTTTTTGTACATCGTTAATATCGTTATCCGACGTATTTTTATATTAAAATTGCAAATTTTAGGCACCAGTGCAAATATTGATTTTACACGAGAGAATTTTTATTTTCTAACTCGATATAATTTTTATTCCATCGAGCCTATGCCTTATTCATGAATCTCTCCTATCAAAATGTGATGCGTGGTTCGTACGCACCTAGCCGATACGGCCATAAATCACAAGAAGCGTAATCCTTAAAGTTCACCGAAATAGATTTCCCCGCGATCCCTGGGTGTCTCCCAAAAATGATTTGTTTTCCCGTAAATCTTGAACGTCGCGTGAATTTTCCAACATGCTTGTTATTGAGCAAGGTGGTCGAAAAGCTCTTCTCCATGATCTGACATTTATAAACTGAGTATCGCGTTCCTCGAGGAAACACCTCGTTTACCCCTCATTACGCGTAAGCGAGCGCAAGTTCGCGTTTCTCCCGCGAACGGTATTTCGCGTGGCCGAGATTAAGCCGGAATATTTAGCAAATGTTTCGCATAAATCAAAGCGGCGCAATATGTTCGGAGTTCGAAGCGAGGCTATGTAAATTCATGGTAATACCACGCTGGCCACCCTGCAGAGAGGAGTTTCGATTCGCGAAAAGCCAGGAGGGGGTAAAGAGCGCATTGGGGGACAAGAGCGAAAAGGGGGAGTCGAGTGCGACAGCGTGAGGGTAGGATGGAACAGAGAAAGTGAAAGATGAGGAGAGAAGAAGACAGAGAGCGAGAGGCAGGAAGAGAGGGCGACAAGCGCGTATTTCATGAACCCCTAAAGCAGCCCTGAGCATTGCGGCGACCGCCACAATCCCATTCATTCTCTTTATGGGCTCCCAAGTATTCGGGAGCGAGCTTGAATAAATCGGAAATTTGCCCCGCGGGGAACAGGTCGGTCCTTCGCTCTCGCGATTTGCCTGCGACTTTCGGCCTGGTCATTCCCGAACATTACACGTTTCGTTTTTTTTTTTTTTTTTTGCATAACGCGCATGATGCACGACTGCGAGCGTTAATCCTCGCCCATCCGGTATATACATGTAAAAGATAAGGATTACATTGTCAGGATAAGAATGGAAACCTCGACGATAAGATTACAATCGCAGAAATGTCTTTCTTCATAATAATAATCATAATCATAATCTATAAACTTTCTAAGTTACGTGCGGTATCTAGCAATTTAATCAATATTCTTGCATAATGGGCGAATGCTTTCGCCTTGGTAATAACGGTAGTCAGAACCATAGTAATAGAAAGCGATATTAACGATTGTGCTCCGAACTTCAGCTATGAACGGAATGTTTATGCCACGGAACTTCGATATTCATGTCGCAGTTTGCAATATATTATATATATATCTATGAAATTCGCCGCATTAATTAAATTTATTAAATATTTTGCGTCGTTTGTAGAAAAAGAGAGAAAATTTCGTAAGAAGAACACAAACGTTAATGTGGAGAAGGATCTAAGTAGTATGACATTAGTATTTGCAATATAATACGCTCGATTATATTCGAAGCACCATTAAATCGCAGCGCAGCGTAACGCACGTGAATTGTGCAAACAGATCGATCACGATGACATAATTAACCCTAACTGGGAAGGGTTACGACTTGAATAACTAAGGGTCCCGATGGTGCTGATGCCTCTACAGAATCCCTAAATGCTTGTCGGCAAACTGTGCGTCTAACGTTTCTAGAATCAAATTTGCATTTCAGTTAGCAAATATCCGCATTGTTCCTTCCCGAGAAATGTTTCTAATCGAGTCGAAAGAACACGCGCACATCCGTGAATTTAAATTAGTCGAATATACTAAGCTCGCCTTGTAACTCAACTCTTTAACTTCACTGTTAGCTACATTTTTCAGTATATTTTTGCAAAATA